CTGCTGCTGCTGCTGCTGCGGTTGGTTGGTTGGTTGGCGCAAACGCTCTGAGTCCAAGAGGAGGAAGAGGAGGAGGAGGAGGAGGAAAAAAAGAAAAGCACACGATCCTGCCCCCTGGACTGCACTGAAATTAAAGTGACAGTATGGAGATAGCCAGTGACATCACTGTGTACACCTTTACTAGGACCATAAGGAGTCATTATACTCCTCAATACTGCTGCTGCTGCTGCTGATGGAGGCTGCAGCTTGAATTAAATATTAAAATCCACTGGAGTTAAAGTGACAATATGAGTACTTACCTGTCCTTTATTTTTCTTCATTAGGTTTTGTGCAACAGCTTTAAAAGTCTGCTGTTGGAAGCACAGATCATAACCAGGGTTTTAGAAACAACTGAGAACAGTTCATTTTTAATAAACAACAAAGAATAAAATGTCTAAAATGTTTAAATAAACCATCAAACAAAAAAAAATCAAACACAATTTGAGTAAATTTGTCTGTTTGAGGTCCTATATTATCAATATATTTCCAATCATGTACAGTGTTGTCCCTCTGCTTTATTACAGACTTAAATAGTATGACAAGAAGGAAGTGTTGAGTATCAGTTCGTTACTGTACTAACAGAAATGTTGTGTGGTACAATTTCATTGTACCTGCTAAATTAAAAAATCCAATTAAATTGTAATTTCTATCAAATGTATCTCTCATAGCCTGTTTCTATCTCTTGGATTATATCTCGCACATTGTAAGTATCATCATATGTCACACTGTACATTCTTGTAAAGCTCTATATTTATATTTTCTTTGTTTATTGTTCTAAACTTATATACCTTCTGTGTGGAAACCTACTTGGTAATAAAACAGATTCTGAAAAATAGTGAAATTTAAACATAACTGAGTCTAAGCTAAACATACTTTTTAATCTTCCTTAAAATACTATGAGATGATTCAGTTTCCTCGATAATAATATGGAGCTTTACAAATATAAAGAATGAAAAATAAAAGTGTCAATAGGTTTGTCTTAAATGGTAATTTTAAAGACATTTAAAATTCTGCTAATTCTGGATATTTAATCTTCTTACTGCAACTTATATTGTAGCTGATTATCATATCGTGTCTTTTAATGACCTGAAGTCATTCCACAGTTACACACATAAAACAAATGATGAGTTTTAAAGGCTGATTAAATTAATGACTGATCAAATCAATAAAAAAAAATAATACATTGTGTATTAATGTCATTAGAATGATAAAGTGGAGAAGGCTTTAAATCAGCATCTGGATAAATATAAACGTTAAAAGTTAAACCAACAAATAAAATGGAAAGAAAGCTTCACCATCGAGGATTAGTAGTTGTAACTCAGGATCTGTAAAATCATGGTTACAGCTCTGCAACAACAACTTAAGAAGCTTTTTCTAATGAGGGAAAAGAGATTGAAAGGAAATTCTAATGAAGAAATGAATGACTGATTCGACAATAACAGCCAAACTAAAGGCTTTGTAAGACAGTAGCCAACTCCAATAACATTCACTCATGTCCAAGTTAAATAATTAGTGACATAAAGTTTGATAGATGATCATAACAGTCATTTTACAACATTAAATTGTGATTAAAATAAAAAATAAAAAACAACTTGAGTCATCAGGGTGTTTGTTTTACATCTGATCCATTACAGTGGAACAAAGTTGATTCTTTTATATATAATTTTTCACACATTTGCCATGTTTTGATATATTAATATTAGAAAAATATTGATTTCAACCATATTGCCCATCAATATTAATATTATATGACAGCAAAGATCTGAAGACCAAGGGTACAGACGTGCTGTACAGATTTTAAAGCCAAATATGTGATTGAGCTAAATTAATAACTCAGACTCATTTTACAACAGTTTTTTTCACGTGAGCATTAAATCTGATCAGGAATATGACCTCACTGACACTGAAGAAGTTATGAGAACATTTGATTCACAGTTGAAGGCAGTTATAATCCAATATGAAACTGAAACTTCAAAAAAAAAAAAAAAAAGACTTAAGATTTAGTTTCTGCAAATAATAACGACTAAATAAAAACACCAACTGTCTCTCTGGAACAATAACACTTTTTTTTGGTGTTTGTATAAGAGATACACTTTTTTTTCTCGCTTCACTGCCCACGCTACTTTGTTCTTTATAAAAGGCTAAGTGTTTAAATAAAGAAAAGATGTATGTAAATTGGCAAATCCTCAACCAACTCCAACACTCGAACCGTTGTTGTTTCATTTATGAAGACAGACAGAAGAAAACAGCAGCCTGGAAGTAAAACGCTTCCTGTGAAACCGCTTTTGTTTCCTTTTTGTTCGCCAAATGAAAATACTGATGAATTATTGTTCGTTTCACAGGCACCATCCACATAACTCATCACAAAGAAAACACTTTAAATCCCTGAACCAATCTGCTGCCACTGTATTTTAGGCTTGCATTACAATCACATCCAACTCATTGAGATGTATTTTCATCAACATTATGTAGCTCAAAAGAGATTAAAATGTCCCTTAAAATCTTCAGAAAAGTCCTTTAGGGAATCCGTCTCCAAAAGTCGTCCAGCTGTTTCCTACAGGTTTATAAAAGTAAATACAGTTGGACCACTATGATCCTGAGTTAAAAGCAATATGACACCCCTAAAGGTTATCTTAAAAATGATCCGTAAAGTGCAATGTCACAATAAAGTCATAAAAGGCTTTAAGATTTCAATAAATATTCTCTGTACAACGCTTGCACACACTGTTGAGCGGTCCCATTGGGTTTGTGCTGGATAAGATGAGTAGGAGTAGTGTTCAGTCTGGGCTCTTTTTGGCAGAGAGGATTAGAGTTTATACGGAGTTTGTTGGTTGTGTAACATGGTCGACTGTTTTTTTGTTTTTGTTTTTAACTGTTACACCTTTGACTTTGAGCTTCTGTCTCCTTCTACCCAATATTCTTCTGTCTGCATCTCTGTGAGTCGAGACACTGTCCTCTGGAAGGCAAACCTTTCCTCCTCTCCGCTGAAGATGGACAAACCACTGGCTTCTTCCTGTTTAACCACAGGGTATTAAATTGAATTAAATAGATTAGTGAAACTCATTATTGCATTCACACATTCAGAGCTGAGAAGTAACAAAGTGCAAATACTTCATTACTGTACTTACGTCCTTTCTCCAGGTGTCTGTACTTTACTTGAGCATTTAACTTTTTGCTTTTACACATTTTTAACACAAATATCTGTACTTTTTACTCCTTACATTTTCAGAAACATTGACAAGCATTTGAGGGGAATTATTCATTTATTATTATTATTTATTTTTCTTTTGCACTTTAATACCAGTGCGTATCACACACAGACATGTCAAAACAGTCGAGAGGGAAACTCAAACCCTATTTAAAGTTTCAGTTAGCTTTGCAGAGAAACAGCCGGTAGAGATGTCCTCCAGAGAAACCAAGAAAATATTTTTATACTTTGAGTACATTTGAGAGTCACTTTTACGTGAGTAAAGAAGTTAATTCAGAAGTTCAGTCATTTTTTTTTCTACTTGAGTAAACAATGTATGTTCTTTTGCCACCTCTGCTTACATTTAATATGTTTAATGATTTTGTCTTTATGCTTTTATTAATTTTTTTGGTTTAGGTTTAGGCAATTTTATATTCTGATTTTTTTGGGGGGCATTTTATGCCTTTATCAGATGAGGGAGGGAGAGATGCAACAAAGGGTGGAATTGATCTGGAGGTGTTGCAGTCAGCATGTTAACCCTTAGGTCGGGGGGAGACCCTCAACATTCAATTTTATTTATTTTTTACAGTTAAAAATAAACAAAGTTGGGGCACCATAAATCTGTGATCTGAACCTCGAAAGCTGGTTTTTATTCGAAAACAGGAAATGCATCTGAGAGAGATGCTGTGAGAAGATTAAACACTACAGTTTCTGAGGATTCATAATTTGCTTCTAAAAAACAAAGAAACAAATCAGAATAAGGCAATCTGAGTTTGTTTTGAGTAGTTTGTGAGTTATTTAGCAGAACATCTCAAAAACCTGTTAAGAGATTTGAAAGAAATTTGGTTGAAAGGAAAATCTGTGGATCCAGAGTAATGCACTTACTTTAAACAATCTGACCCACAAAAGTTTATCATTGTATTTACTTTAATGCCGATTCAGAATGATCTATTATTAAAGGAATACATTTATAGGATTGTGCATTCTTGGCAGAGGTATTAACTTTAAGTTATTTATAGCTTTACTTGACTTGAAAGAAATGAATACTCACTAACAGACTGACTTACTGGTTAAAAGAAGTTTTCAATGCATACAACAAAGTGGACTGGCTTACTCTGAGCTGTGTGTTTTTAGCTTCATACACCGACGGTTTAATTATCTACATTTACGACCGTACACGCCCAACATGAAAAACAGGTTTAACTGTAAAAACAGAGTCGGAGCTCTCACCCTTTTCAGCCCCAGATCGTCCATCAGAATGTGGCTCTCGTCGTGACTGTGATCACCATCCTGTACGAAAATATCCTCCAGCGGATGATCTGCAAGAATCACCACCCGCACCTGAAACAGGAGGATATAGTTAGAAAAGTCCCAAACAATAAAAAGCTAACGTTTGGTGTTTAAGTGTAGGAGCAGATAACAGCGGCGTACCTTGTGGTCGTAGAGGGCATCCACCAGCGTTATGAGCCGCCTGGCTTGAGTTTTCTTGTTCAGCGTCAGCAGAGGAATGTGTCGAATAAAGATGGTGTCAAACAGCCTGGACATTTCCAGGTAGTCACTGGCCCCTAAAGGCTGAAACATTTACATTCAAACCATTTATGGCTTGTATTTATTGAGCCTCAAAGCGCACCAAGCTGGTTTAAGTTGCTGCATGTTTTACATTTCCTGGATTTTAATAAAACCAAACTTTGTCTGAAAATGCTTGTTTACTAGAAACCTGTGGCTTTATGAGTTTGTCTTTACTTCAGCCACGACAGAGCCACCTGTGAGTCATTTAAACACAACCAAGAACAGTTCAAACCTGTTTAACTTTGTTTTAACTTCTGGTTGAGATGCCAGTGTTTCAACAGACACCAAGCAGGCTGGGTCTGAAGTACAGTAAAAAGGTTTTTTTCTATTTGATATCACAGTGCAGCCGTGAAGATTTAATGTTTTAATATTCAATTCAATATTATCCTGATATAGCTTCAATGAAGCATTTCAACAAGCACATACAGAGTACCCAGTATGTGAGCTGTGCTGTTTGGATTGGTGTATCTAAAGCTTGCATTACAAGGACTTTTATAAACTTTTAAAGGGCATTATAGCTGGATTGTGTCAACAGTATGTAGAAATCCAAACCTAAAGACTGACAAACCAAGAAAAAACAGACTGTTGGAGTGTAGCTTAGTTTTTGATGATGGCTATTCAATACAATAACATGCAGATAATTGAGTGCCATCGCTCACTAGAAGTGTTAGAAAAACCTGATTTGTGTGATAAAGAATACAAAACCAACGTATTTTAAAAATGCATATCCACTGAAACACCAAACAATCCAGAATAGAAGTAAAGCCTGATGCACATAGAGAGCTTTGCCACATCATGAGACTCACTCTATCACACAGCTCTTCAAACGTACAGTCTGCAATGGTCCCACATGCTTTGTTCAGGCGCACTTTCCTGTTGTGAACATTCATAACTCTCGGTCGCGTTACTGCGGAGAAACACAGTATCGTAAGTACACCACATGATACTAAAGTTATTACAATATGCAGATCAAACCTAATTACATATAAGCTGCAGAGTTAAATCAAATGTCATCTGAAAGCACACTTACTGTCATTTTGCTTAAAAGCCAGCTCATCAAACATCTTGTCTAGTGTCGCTTCTACGTCAGGCTCACTGGAGCTGCAGTTCATGTAACAGAAACATTTAAAGCACAAAAACATGCAAACAAAAGATCACAATCTGGCTTTCAATGACTGTTTTACTTACAGAAAGTAGAGTTTTCCAGCTGAGGGTCTGTTCCTCCTGCGGTAATCGATCCCAGAATCCAGGCGAAGAGTTTGGCAAAATTTCTGCATGTGAGAGACGAGTGATTAACAACAACAACAACAACAACAAAAACAACAACAAGAACGGGTGCATTTAAATTAAAAAGATATTATACGTCTCCTGTCTTACCTGCAACACAGCAATAAAAGGCACGAAATTGACTCTCTGCAGCCCGTTTTTATACAAGTCTGAGGAAAAAGAGCGGGTCATAAGTTGTTTCTACAATTATGCTATTTACACTTTAATAGTCACATTTGCCAGTTTTTGTAGTAATACTGTCTCATTCAACAATCTTGCTAAGGAATTTTAAAAATATGCGTTTGAAATGATGTGTAGAAGTTTTTTTTATTTCTTGACATGCAAACTGCAACCATGAGCAAATCAAACTGTGTTGACATCCTGAGGAAGGAATCTGGATGCAAACTGCCCCAGTCAGAGGTAGTAAAGTTTTCAGTTATGTTCTAACCAAAATCCATCTGAAACCACGAGTTACAGGATGTAGATCAAAGACATAAAAACGTTGAGCTAAGGTGTGAAAAGTCGTGCGGCGAGAACAGTTTCTGAAGGCATGTGGACAGATTATTATATGTGATATGTTACAAGACTTGTCAATTACCTTCAGGGGGACGATTAGAAGTGGCCACAACAACAACACCGTTCAGAAACAGATTCTCAAAGAGCTGCTTGAGAATCATGGCATCTGCAATATCAGTGACCTGAAATGTGTGTTACAAATAAAGCATTGGAAACACTGTACAGGTTAAATGACGCATACATAAAATGTATAGATACTGTGAGACTCCTTTAGAGTCTCTGTTACAAAAAAGATCCCACCACAGGTATTGTGGTTTGTAGAAACATTACCTGAAATTCATCAAAGCACAGAAGACAAGCCTCCTCACTGATCTCCTCAGCAACTGGAGCAATGGGGTCATAGGATTTGGCCATTTTACCCGCTTTCCTCTTTGGCATACTCTGTTTCAGCCGATGGATCCCTAAAGAGTAATAAAACGCAGAAATTAGACTTCGCTCTGCAGGATTAGTAAAAATTAATACACTAGAATCTGCTGAGCTAAAATGAACATGAACTGGAAAACACAAACCACCACATTTAATAAATGTATCGTCTCTACTTTTAATTTTCGTAACTGTTTGCTTTATGTTTCTGTATATTTTAAATGTAGAATTATATTGAACTTTTTATAAAGAATAAATATATACAACCTGGAAGTGAAAGAGGTTGACTGGACACATTTAAAGTGCTTTGTCAGCAGCATTCATATGTACCATGACATGTAAGCGGTGCCCTAAATGTAACAAAACTGAAATGTGTTGACTAAAACCGGAAATATAAGCTCAGTTGAACAACCACAGCTATATGCTGAATGTAGCATGTTGTGAAGTGTTGGTTTCACATCAGTATTGAAATGAAAACAGTATATTGAACAATAAAGTGTAATACAAATAAAACGTTCACACCTACTGAAACATATTCAGATCCTTTCAGTGCACAGGAAAGTATAGAGAGTTTGCAATATAGGTTACAGCTAAAGCTGATGGTAAAAGACACCTGGCTGTTGTTGAAAACATTACCCAGGATACACAGTGCCTATGTCACCCTGCACAGAGCTGCTGATTCTGTGGGTTGTCTGCAACCACTGACAGGTGATTTTAGGAACTGAATTAATAATGAATGAATGAATGAGGTGGTAGCAATTCGGCCTCAAAGGCAAATGTTCTAAATTTTATCCAATGCAATTGTAGACAAAACTATTACAGCATCTCAGGATAAGCTGTGTGGTGAAGGCAGGATGTCAGCTGGCCTTTTATTAAACGGCCAAAAGGTGAAAAGAATGAAGAAATGCAACCATTAGAGGATGTGGGTTGATATTTTCTCTCCTAATAAGAATGAAAGTCATCAAAAGTTAGCTACATTGCAGCTGGGAGCATAACTTCCACTTTTTAGATGATTATTCATTTGTGCCTTCAATTAAAGCGACATTAGTTGCCCCCTAGTGGCTGTTAGGAGCAAAGAAACCCCCAAAAATGACAACATGAATGTTATTTGCACCACCCCTTCTCGGCTTAACTGTAAATGATGTTCCACATCTCCGACACTGTGCATCCTCGGTACAAACTAAGGATTGACCGATGTGTTTTTGCAGGGCTGATACAGATAATGATTATTAGTAATGAAGGAAACTGATTTACATTTGCAGTAAAATTTAATATCTTAGGGTCAAAATTTAGAATCAGAACCAGTGATGAAGTGCAAGTTAGTCAAGTACTGCAAGTAATTTTAAGGCACTCTTACTTTACTTGAGTATTTCCATTTTATGCTCCTTTATACTTCTGCTGCACTACATTTTAAAAGGCAAATATTGTACTTTTTACTCGACTACATCCATTTAATAACTTTAGTTACTAACTACTTTGCAGATTCACATGAATTATACAAAATATAAACTACTAATATATTATTATATATTATTTTACATTAAACTACCCAGTTATATTAAGTAAATTACCTCCACCTTTACGAGCCGCAACATTCAACAATGATAGCAAACATACAGGGTTAGTGGTATGTAATAAGAAAATAATAATAATAATAATAATAATATAATAATATCAATAAGTATATATTTACAACACACCTGTATCTAAATGGTACAAGTGGTATCTGATATCTCTAATTTATTCATCAGTTTCATCAGTGGGATAAAACGCGGTTCTACAGTACGAACATGATGTAAACGTACTTTTATGAACGTCCAACATAAAGCCGTGGAAATGGACCCTCTTCTTCTTTTCAGTCTCAACATATGAATAAAACATGTCCATCACCATAGTTTTCCCTGTGCCTGAAACAATAAAGAGCATGTGAATAAACACAAAATATTAGAAATTAAATGGATGTTTGTAACTCTGTGGCCCATCTCTCTCTTACCAACATCACCGAAGATGTAGTAACCTTTTGGAGGCTTCGGTTTTGTGAAAAACTGAAAGACAAAGAGGCAGAAACACTTGATAAATGACTGTTTGCACCATAATAGAACAGCTGTTCCCAACCTTTGGGTTGGGACCCCACTGGGGGTCGCCAAAGCTTCACAGAGTGATTTTGAGCAGTAAGAAAACTATATAAAATATAAACAGTAGGTCTATATCTCCGCATTTCATTCATTATTTTAATTAATACGTTTATATTATTATTAAGATATAAACAGGGTAAGAGGACAGTGAAGACTTGAACACAAGCTATATTCACAGAGACTTCACTCTCCAATAAACAGTCTCTTCCTGATTTAGAAAAGTTAAAACAACCAAAGAGTTAACAGAACAATGAGAAGAAAACACTGAATTTCTCAAAAAAAACCAAAAAAAACAGCCAATTAAGACTGTGTGATGTTTAAAATCTAATAAAATTCAGGCTACAGACAAAAAACTGTACAAGAAGAATATCAGGAAAACCTCTGATTTAAATTCACAGGAAATAATCTGCTCAAAATTCATCCATATCGCTCGTTTTACACAAACTTCCTGCAGTTAATGTGTTCACTATTTGGGTTCATGGCACAGTTCATCAGTTAGCACTGTGCTGTTATTGTCATGCATTGAATACAATATGAACACACACACATTATACACACACATTATACACACACAAGCATACACACATTACACAACACACAACACTACGTTACACTAATCTTCCCTAATATGCAAATGAACTTCTGAACAGGTGAGGATTCATAGCCTTACATGAGGTGCATTTATTTACAGCAAAAAGAATAATTACAGCATTTAATTAAAAAAAAAGTATTAATAATAAAGTTTCTTCTCTGACCCTTGGGGACGAAGGGATGTTGCTGTGTTTGCTGTATCCTCGAGTGTTTTGGGAGCGGTCCAGAGGTCTGCACACCGCTTTTCTTTGGGTGCTTTCATGCCTCCCGCAGGACCCGTCTCTGATCCAGCCCGTTTAGTGAGTCCAGAGGGGCCGCTGTACCGGCGCGCTTAACACCCGCTCTCCTCCACCGCCTGCTGGGCTTTCCACCGTAGTAACACATATTGAAATTAAAAAACACATACGGAGTCACATTAAGGCCTTTTGTGCCACATTTTCCAGACACAACAACAAAGAAGCCAGCTTTGTCGATGCAGAGAAGTCGCTTGATAATGGTCACTGCGCGAGGCCTGTGGGTGTTTTTGTTTTTTTGTTGCTTGTGGTTTTTTTTTGTTTTTTTCTTGGTGTTTTTTTTTTTGTCTTTTTTTAACGCGTGTGTGTTTTTTGTGTGTTGTTTGGTTTTGTGTTGGGTTTGGTTTGGTTGTGTCGTGTGTGTGTTTTTTTCTTTTTGTTGATCTGAACCATATAGGTGACTGTAGTTCGGATCATAGCGGATCTAATTGCGAGGATTTTGATATACTAATTGGTGGTATAGTGACATGTAAGGTTTTTACATATATAATCACCATTTCTCTTATAAGTACTTATAATCTGATCATAAATTACAAATAGATGAACCAGTTCGACTTTCAGGTAGAAAAGCCGGTGAAGCTACCGTATCGATCGCAGAAAAGATCATACCTCCCATCAACCCACGGACTCGTTCACCTCGTCTACGAGAGCTCTTCGAAAAAGAGTTTAAGGCTTTCGGAGCAGATATTTTCCCCAAAAGCAACCTAAAAGCCCAGGGTGAAGTTGAGGGGTGACATCTTTAAAAGACACTTAGCACACGCACCTCTTGGCTTAAATTGTCCTCAACGTTAACTTATTAACAGGAAAAGACCAAAGACACAAGAGAGACAGCCCAGCAGGGGGGGCGATTTCAGTACATTAAGATTATTGGATGATATTAGTAGATAGATAGATAGATAATAGATAGATAGGATAGATAGATAGATAGATAAGGATAGATAGATATAGATAGATAGATAGATAGGATAATAGATAATAGATAGATAATAATAGGATAGATAATAGATAGATAGTTAGAGTATCTTGGGGTGCGTTCATAGCAGCCAGGTACATTCAAATACATAAAATTTACAATAGAATAAAAATACAAGACAATAGAATAATACTTAGATAGGAAAATAAAAAAAAATAAATAGTAGTGTTTTAGTACTGATGACATGATGGTAGTGTTATTGTTAATAACAGTATATAATGATAATATTAATAATATTTATAATAATAATATAATAATAATATGTATATATAATATGATGACTGAACAGATATACATGTATACACATGGATATTATACATGTTGATAATAATATAATAATATAATATTGATATAATGTAATTATATCAATATATATAATATATATAATTATAAGCAGTGTGGTGATGAAAATTTGGTTGTAATTGTGTTGATAAACTGTCAACAATGAACATTACATATATTCAGTAATAATGTTTTAAAAAACACAAAGAGATTGTTTTTTTTTAAATAGATGATAAAAAAAACAAGGTAAATTTTAATAAAACAGATCAATTACAGTGCAGTGCAGGATATGAATAAGTAACGAAATGCAGTAGCAAACATAAAAGCCTTGTTTAAGGATTAAACCTGATATTTATTCAAAACAGTGGCACATATGCAGGCTGTTTGTATTTTATCCCAAGTAGAGCTGGAACAATTTGTCAATTTAGCAATTAGTTAGTTAGAAAATAAATTTTTTGATAATCAGTTACAAGTTTAAGTCAATAATCAAGCAAATCTGTTTTGTTTTTTTTCAGTTTTATATGATTGTAAACTGGATATCTTTGATCTTTAAACTGTTTGTTAGAGAAAAAAAGACATTCAAAGACATTGACTTTTGGGAATAGTTGTAAAAATCTAATATTAGATTAATGGACAATACAAAAAAAGGTCTTAATCCCAGGATTGCACAATGAACAAACCTGTACCCACCAGAGTCTCTACTGAAATATCCAGAGGACACATAATGTCCCATGGTGTTAATTTAGGCTAAATTTAGAACACATACACCTTTTCATGAGTCCAAGTCATGAAATACCTAAAATGGAAACACGACAATGACATTCTGCGCTTCATGTGGCAGAATATGGATAACTGCAAATATATGCAAATCAATTAAATGGAAATACAATGGTTACTTTGGGAGGCTAAGCCTTCCCACTCACTAATGCAAGATTATTAAAAATCATATAACAAAGGCAGTGGTGAAAATAAACCAGTTACAGCATATTGAGGGTAAATATTCATGAATAGATTAGCAAGAATTATTATGGTTATTATTATATATTATGTAGGACTAATTATTACTGATTAATCATTATGTCTATAAAAATAGTAAAATAGTAAAAAAGCTTGTTTTGTTTCTACCTGTCACAAACCCAGAGATATTCAATTTACAGCGATATAAAACAAGAAAAGCAGCACAATGTCACATTTTCGAGGCTGAAAACAGGATATTTGGTACAGGTATATTATTTTTGCTTGAAAAACTACTTAAACGTTGTTGCTGATTAATGTTTTTAATGTCAATTGAAATAATATGTTGTTTATCTGCTGTCATATCAGATTACTGCAGTTTGAATAATATATGCAGGGCTGAAACTAACAGTTATTATTTTGTATTACTGATTAATTGCTTTATCTATCTGTAAAATGTCAGAGAATGGTAAATAATGTGTCATAAATCTCCACAGTTCAAGGTTCACGTCTTCAAACAGTCCAAAACCCAAATATA